ATGTGCTCTCTGTCTCTCTCATTCTCTCTCTCTCAAATAAATAAAAATCTTTAAAAAAAAAAAAATAAAAAGTACTTGAGCATTTAAAAGGTACAGTAGTAAATTCAAATTATGTCCCTTTTAAAATTCAATTGAATTATTTTTCGAAATAGCTATCTCTATACCACAACCTTTCTTACCTTTTACATGTTCTCATTTCCAAGAAAGGAAACAAAACAAAAACAAGAAAAACCTAAACATTTATAATGAAAACAAAATAAAGTATTTATGGGAAGAACAGCTTTGTAAAATCTCATAAGTTCAAATTCACATTTCATTTAACTAATCTTATTATGTTTTTATGGGAGTAAAAATATTGCTGTAAAAGGGATAAAAAATAAGGAAGAAGGAAATCTTCACCTTACCTTATAGGTGTAAATACATTTTCATGCCACCGAATTGCTAGAAATGTCAACTTCAGACGTTCTCCAGAATAAAAAGTAAACGAACACAAGCAGCAATCTCCAAATAACTGTAGATAAATTTAATAAACTTTAGTATATAATTCATCTGAAAATAAATCAAGATATATAGAACATGTATTTCTTATCATAAATAAAATATGGAAATCCTGCTTGTATTTTTATTCTTAACGTTAGGCTCAAGAATAGTTAAAAAAAAGAATAAGTAATTTATTTCTGAGTCAGAGGCATGCCCCAAGAAAACAATGCTATTTACTGTGACTATTACTGGAAAGATTCTTATATATTCTTATGTATTTTTCTCTTATTTAATAGTTATATATTATTTAAATTAGGGCACTACCTAGAGGTGGAGGAAGGTAGAGGAAAATAAAATTTCAAAACGCGATTTCTAACAATAGTGGATTGGGTAATGAAATGTTGGTCCATACGTACAAAGAATGCATGCAGCTATTTATGTTTTTTAGCTAATGAATAGGTTCTTTCTTGGAAATTAAATATCTTACTTAGTATCACCAATTCTAGCTTTTTCAATTATTAAACTAGTTATATTTTGAAACTAAGGAAAAGTACAGAATCAGTCCTAGGGAACAAACTGCTGGTTGCCAGAGGGGTGGGGGATGGGCAAAATGGGTGAAGAGGAGTGGTAGGTACAGGTTTCTAGTTATGTAACAAGTCATGGGAATAAAAGGTAGAGCATACAGTATATAATCAATGGTACTGTAATAGTTTTGCATAGTGACAGATGGTGACCATACTTGTGGTAAGCACAGCATAACATAAAGAGTTGTTGAATCGCCATGTTGTATACCTGTAACTAATGTAACACTGTGTCAACTATACTCAAAAAAAATAAATAAAAGTAAATAAAAACTTAAAACTAGGGAAAAGTGAAACTAGGGAAAGAAAAAGGAAGCTCTAACTTAAACCATTTTTTTATTTAAGTATAATTAACAGTATTATATTAGCCACAATATAATGATTCAACAATTCTACACATTTCTCAGTGTTCATCAAGACAACTGTGCTCTTAATACCCTTTACCTATTTCACCCATCCCTCACCCACCTCTCACCCACCTCTCCTCTGGTAACCACTAGTTTGTTCTCTGTATTTAAGAATCTGTTTATTTTGTGGGGTGCCTGGGTGGCTCAGTCGTTAAGCATCTGCCTTCGGCTCAGGTCATGATCACAGGGTCCTGGGATCGAGGCCCACATCGGGCTCCCTGCTCAGCGGGAAGCCTGCTTCTCCCTCTCCCACTCCCCCTGCTTGTGTTCCCTCTCTCGCTGTGCCCTTCTCTGTCAAATAAATAAATAAAATCTTAAAAAAAAAAAAAAAGAATCTGGGTATTTGTCCTCTGACTGACTTATTTCACTTGGCATTATACCCTCTACGTCCATCTATGTCATCACAAATGGCAAGATCTCATTCTTTTTTATCACTGAGTAATATTCCATTTTATATATATACCACATCTTCTTTATCCATTCACCTATTGATGGACACTGGGTTGCTTCCATAGTTTGGCTACTGTAAATAATGCTGCAATAAACATAGAGATGCATATGTCTTTTCGAATTAGTGTTTTTGTTTTCTTTGGGTAAATATCCAGTTGTGGAATTAGTGGATCATATGGTATTTCTATTTTTAGTTTTTTGAGGAAACTCCATACTGTTTTCCACAGCGCTGCACCAATTTATATTCCCAACAGTGCACAAGGGTTCTTTTCTCCACATCCTTGTCAAACACGTCTTATTTCTTGCCTTTTGAGACTAGTCATTCTGACAGGTGTTAGGTGATGTATCTCAGTGTAGTTTTGGTTTGCACTTCCCTGATGATTAGTGATGTTGAGCATCTTTTCATGTAACTGAGGCCATCTGTATGTCTTCTGTAGAGAAATGACTATTCAAGTCCTCTGCCCATTTTTTAATTGGATTATTTGTGGGTTTTTGGTGTTGAGTTGTGTAAGTTCTTTGTATACTTTGGATATTAACTCAACAGAAATATTTGCAAATATCTTCTCCAGTTCAACAAGTTACCTTTTTGTTTTGTTGATGGCTTCCTCCTTCCCTGTGCAAAAGCTTTTTATTTTTGTGTACTCCAAATAGTTTAACTCTGCTTTTGTTTCCTTTGCCAGAGGAGATGTATCTAGGAAAATGTTTCTAAAGCTGTTGTCAAAGAAATTACTGCCTACGCTTTCTTCTAGGAATTTTATCGTTTCAGGTCTCACATTTAGGTCTTTAATCCATTTTGAGTTTATTTTTTTGTGGTGTAAGAAAATGGTCCAGTTTTCTCAACACCATTTGTTGAAGAGACTGTCTTTTCCCCACTATATATTCTTGCCTCCTTCCTCATAAACTAATTGACCATGTATACATGGGTTTATTTCTGGATTCTCTATTCTGTTCCTTGAGCTATGTGTCTATTTTTGTGCCAGTACCATACTGTTTTGATTACCTACAGCTTTGTTCTTCTTTTCCAAGATCACTTTGGCTGCCTTTTGTGGTTCTATACAAATTGTGGGGTTATTTGTTCTCTTTGAAAAATGTTGGTATTTTGATAGGGATTGCATTAAATCTGTAGACTACTCTGGGTAGTATGGACATTTTAACAATACTCATTCTTCCAATCATGAGCATGGAATATCTTTCCATTTGTTTGTGTTATCTTCAATTTCTTTAATCAGTGTTTTATAGTTTTTGGAGTACAGATCTTTCACCTCCTTTTTTTTTTTTTAAAGATTTTATTTATTTGACAGAGAGAGAGACAGCA